GGGGGTTGGAAGGGGGGCGTAGAAGGGGGAAAGGGGAGGTAGGAGGCGGTGGAAGATGGGGGGTCGAACACCCTGTCCAAGTGGTGTGCCCATCGGACTCACCGCGTGTAGCTGTCGCTGATGCCTGAGGTGACAGAGAGATAGACGCCTGTCGTCTAAGTCCAACCTCGTAAGACATCGACGATGGCGACAGCCATCGTTTTATGTCTGTCTGTCTTCCGAGAGAGAGAGAGAGGGAGAGAGAGAGAGAGAGAGAGAGCAACTGTTCGTTACAGATATGCATGTCGTCGCGACATGCATATGTCTATGTCTACCACGATGTGACGATCCCGCAGGACATCAACCAACCGCAACATGCGCCGCGACGTGCCACGTGTGTACTCAGACACGCACGATGACCCGGTACCGTCGCGTCGCGTCTCGCTATGTACTGCCTGTAGTGGAGAAGTGACGTGGCTTGCACGAAACGGCCGCGTCGTATCAGCCGCGGTAAACCGTAGGCACGAAAAAACAATAATAATAAAAACAAAAAAACATTACAGAAGGAAAGTGGAAACAATCCGATAAGTGATGCAAAACATTCGCCAAATAACAAAAGCGAAAAAAATACGAAAATAATTCAATAAAATAATATAAAAGAAAATAATACAATCAACTTCATTCCTCAAAAAATGTTTTCTTTCTCATTTCTTATTTCTTTTCGGTTGTCCGGATCCATGAACACGGACATCGTGCAGGACGACATCGTTCCTTACCACCGGCCCTACCGGGTCCCATATTCGAAACGGCACATCAGGATGGGACTCGGTAGGCCGCGAAAAACCGGTCGTCCGACCCAAAAACAGCGACCGCACACTGCAGGTCGTCCGAGGGTTTTCGGTGGCGGGGGGACCTGTGGTTTAAGGAAGCAGTTATCAGTCTTGAGAATGATAGTGAGACCCACGCCAGAACTATATTCCTGGTCCATTGTGGGATGTTGTTCTCTTTCCTTTGAATAGGAAAGTAACTACATTATCACATAAAAAAGGAGGACAAAGTTGTTTTCTTACTTAAACCTTGATGGTAAAGTATGACAACTACTGCTTAGCCAGGGTGGGTCTAGAGTGACGACCTAGGTCAGGCTCTCGCTACGTAGGGTCACCATATTTAGAGAGGTGCAGGATAGTCACCTGTTATCTCAATAGGTATGAGTGGGGTTGTCTTGCTAACCTTAATAGGTTCAGTGAGGTGCAACTTGAAGCGCTGGAATCAGAGAGGGCTGTGGTAAGGCTTGATCCTTAGAGCGGGGCTCAGGAGTCAAGATGTTATCTTACGAGGATTACACCACCCCTATGTAATATATGCTTCGCTTAAGAGTTGAAGGGGTAACAATTGTATCATGTTGTTTACTCATTACGAGTCTTGTTTTTGCCTTATAGAGTGTTGTTGAGGTTTACCTTGTTATATGACTGACAGTTGAGTTGGCTTCATGTTGTTGTGTATGAAGTTTGCTATGCTCTTCNCAGTTGAGTTGGCTTCATGTTGTTGTGTATGAAGTTTGCTATGCTCTTCAGTTACAACCCTTGTCAATAAGTTGTGCCTATTATGTTGTGATTATTGTTGTAAGTATATGTTATTTATCATAGGTTGTACCGTACTTTGGATTCATGTTTAGAGTATCCACCTATATGGCATACGTGTATTGTGCCCTTCCTTGATAATAGAAACCATAAGTGGTTACTGCCTTAGTTATGATTGGAGGGATTTATTAGTGAATATTTATGTTTTATTTTAGGTGGATATTTATTTAAAGACTCTCTTCGTTAACGTCGTTGTTGTGAATACAAATTTTATATGCGCTCATGATGAGAATGACATAATTTAGTAGGGATATATTCTGTTTTAGATTTGGTTGCGTGACTTCCCTCGAGTCTCGACCCTAACGTCGCTCGTTGTTGTTCAACAGGTGATGGGGTCGAGGGAGCTCGAGATGGAAGGTTCTCAAGGGAAGATTGGGGTCGAGGAACTTACCTACCTGTTGGGTGTGCGTGATTGGGAGCGAGACAACCTACCCAAGGTTGAGATCGACTTCTTTAAAGACTATCATGTTTTTAACTTCCTTGACAAGTTTGGGCAAATAGCGTCTCACTGCAAGTGGAATGAGGAGCAGATGCTGAAGGAGGTCATAAAGTGTATCCATATAGGCTTGAAGGATGAAGTTAGTGGGTTGGTTAGAAGACTCAGGGTTGTCATGGAGGAAGTTTCATAATGACATGTGGAATAAATACCGGCTAGGTGAGGAACAACTGACCAAACACGATCTTGAGAAGATAGATTGATATTGGTATGTGTAAGTAGGGCACTTCCTTACGGAGTATGAACGTGCATCCAGTAAGGTCTGGGCGTTGTCTGAACATGACAAGTGTTTCGTCTTCCTCATGAACTTCACGGATGCCGAGCAACGAGATTTGATCCGTGGGACAGAGGGGAAACTAATATGGGATAAGAGCCGAGAGAACTTTGAGCAGGGGGATTTCGACCAGTACCTCTGCCATACTCTATAGGAAGCGAGGAAAAAGAAAAGGAGTTGCAAAGTTGTGGTAAGAACAAGTTGGATGAAGGCGCAAAGGAAGTTGTGGCAGGTGCTAGCGAGAATATGGAAGGCGAACCCCAAGAGAAGGTTAAGAAGTCTAAGCGAAATCATAAGTGGGGTGAAGAGAAAAGGGCGAAAGCCTGCATTGGTAAAGCAGGGGGAGATGAAGTCGTGAACACCATGCCTCATACCTGTGAGAGGACAATTGATGTCCCAAATAAAAAGAGAAAAAAGGGACAAAGAGGACAGAGGCAAGTAAATATGGCCCCACTTATAGCTATGTCCCGCCCTCAGGAAGGATGTGCCAGAGAGGAGGCTTTGTCGTCTGAAAGTATGACGGATCGTAGAATGAAGAAAATGCGAGACCGATAGACAAAGATAGTATGTGATTGTTGTGGAAAGCTTGGTCACACCCCTCGCAGATGTAAGGCGGCGGAGAAAGGAGTTAGAGGGTGAGGTCATTGGGCTTTAGGCAAGGGTATGGTTCCTCCCAACAACTATCACCAATTTGCTTGTTTCATCCATAGCAAGAAAGCGATAGAATGGTGGCGGCAGTCTCGATCGACTATAAACAAATATTCGGAAGGCTATGACATTGTGGGAAACCCAATTGCTAGACTAATAGACAATCACCTGCCTTTGTTGCTTTTAAAGCTAAGTCCGCAATTTTTATGAGGCATAGATTTTACTTTGTATATATTCCTGATTTCGGATGAGAATCCTTACTCTTTGAGATTGTGTGTACGCTCTGAGTTTGACAACCCGCTCTTTAAGCAGGTTTTGGAGGCCTTTTAAGATTAAGTTGTTCATGCGCTGACGTCCTTTTATTTTTGTCTGAATGGTTGGGATCGTTTTGTGTATATCAGTCTTTTATGATTCGTAGGGTGTGTTATACAAGGGGTTTTGCTTCTGATTTGGGACCTGGAATAGTAACGATTTTAGGTTTTTGGAGATTTGAGACTCGAGATAGTCTGATTTTCTTCTAAGGACCATTTTGGTATGGGGTTTTGATTTCCCTAGGTTGCAGAATCGTGCATGTTTTTGTTGGCATTGACACTCTCACCATGGTAAATTTGTGGGTTTTCCTGTATTTGTTCTATTTGACCTATGAGAAGGAAAGTCTTAACTGTGTGTAATGAAAGAGTGACAAAAGGGTCAATGAAGAGTGTTTGAACCGGGGAGGGTTCAATGAAGTGAGGAAAGCGTGATTATCAGTGAAGGATTTCTGAAAGATTTAAAGAATCCAGAAAATCATATTGAGAGAGAGGTTATGCCCGAGGGTGGCCTAAACAATTGATGGTCTTATTGGGACCCATCTCCGAGTGGGAGATTTTTTTTAAAAATTATATGGAATGTTTATCCTTGAGTGGGAAGGGTAGCCGAAAGATTTTTGGCTGAGAGATTAGCCTTCCTGACATGTATACAACGACCACTCTGCCCTGGGCTCATAACTGTCAGCGAGAGACTCGCAGCACGGAAACCTGTCATGTATACCGGACCCCCACTTGACCCTTCGTTATGGGCTGCGAGTGGTTTAATCTGCGTCAGAGGGTAGGGGTTATATTGTCACGTATACAACAATGTCACTCTACCCAAGGTTCATAGTTGCCAGTAAGGGAGGCTCACGGCAGGGGAACCTGTTATGTATATGGGACCCTTACTTGACTCTTGGTTGTGAACTGCGAGTGGCTAGGTTGCGACAGTATTTCCCATGATTGAGAAAAATCAAGGGAAAATGGTTGATTGTGGTGAGATTTGAGAAATATAAACTTAGAGTTTTATCTGAAAAAAGACTATGAGAGTTTGCCAACTGAGCAAAGCCTATGGATGAGAGTGATAAAAGGTATGATGAAAGTGAAGAACCCTACTCAAAAGGGTAGGATTTATAATAAAAAAGGGGTGATTTACTTCTTCATTAGAGACTTAGTGAGTACCCCCACCCACCCCTCTGATGAATCACTAAAATGGGTGGCTTTTGAGTGACAGTAATGGCTGTGGGATTGGGCTTAACGGGGTCCTAACCATAGGGTACGTTTGTGGCATGTGTGATGGGGTCAAACACCCTAATCTTCTAGTTAGCTGAAAGATTGAGGTGCCTAATTATTCCCCACAATGGGGTATCCCCTTGAGAGAAGCTTGAAAAGGAGGTATGACTGAGTTGAGTCTGAATGATCGTTGTAAGCCACCACTGGATTGAGTCCTGGTCAGTGGTAGCGTGATCAGGGTGCCCGGCGCGATAAAATATCGTTCAAAGAGACCGGAAGTGGTGTAATCTTGAGTTTGACTTATGTTGACTTCCTGTCCGTGATTGCAGTAGGTGGAAAGTGGCTTTATCCACTTTATTAAATTAGCGGTTGAAAAGTGTATGTGCTTAGCCGATTATTCGACTATTATAAATTGTTATTTTGATCAGGGATTAAAAGATATTTTTGACCGCTGATTTTGTCCACTTCCTTGGAAGAATCGAGGTTTGGAGTCGATATAACTTAATGATCTTTTTTTTGTTAAGTTACTGGCTCGAGAGAGGATATTACATAGTTTTTTGCGAGGCTATGTTTAAAACAGCAGTTGAATAGGAATGCTTGGTGCGACGGGGACGTCGCTTTATAGGGTCCAGGCAGGCTGTCGTACCAAATACCCATACAAGGGTATTTGGCGTGTTTTCCACACAAGTCACGCCGGTGTAGCCTCGCCCGTCTAACTGCGGGAAAGCGAGAGGGAGCTTTTGGTCCTAGTCTGGGTGAGCGGAGCGCGCGGAGCATTAATGGCGAGGCCCAAACCAAGCGCAGCCTGAGTGTGTGCGGCGTCATGGGC